CGTCACTAAGTAAACATTGAAATTAAAATTTTCTGTACCGCCATTTATAGGTCTGTAAAGGAAAATCTATGAAAATTTTATTTGCAAAGGTTGTATCTCATCAACAATAACGACCAATTAAAATATTATTTGTTGTTTAGACTGTACAATGCCACAATGTTGTATAAATCTTCTTTTCCACCAAGTTTCGTCACTAAGTAAACATAGAAACTAAAATTTTCTATACCACCATTTATAGGTCTGTAAAGGAAAAACTATAACAAAGATATAACCTGTTTTGTTTCTTTTTTTTTAAAATAGAAAGGCCGAAAATTTGAGGAATGCTTTTTTTATTTTCCTCAAAAGTTTGAAGGAAGTTGTTTTAAGATTGTTTTTTAAAGTGCGAAACACCATTATCAACTTTTTTCTTGTTTTAAGAAATGTTAACTTTTTTCTACAACAAATCCATTTGAACGTCGAATCGTTTAATCCCGGACCATCAATTTGGATTCAGGCAATATCGAGTAGGCCAAAAAAAATTTGTTTTTAAGATATCAATTCTGACTAGTTGTTACATTTAGCTCTCTGACATACGATGTTTTATAGAAAAAAAATTTTAGGGTTGATAATCCGGGGCATGTTTTTTCTCCAATGTCAAATGTTCCACATAAAAGTTCATAACTCTGCTGATTTCTTCCAATGTTCACGGTATTATAATCGTTGGAAACTTAGAAATTTGATAGCCCTAATACGCATTTATTTACGGAAGGCGAAAGTTATTTCATTATGTCTAATTTGAAAGGTTAGAAATTTCTGTAAGGTTTCAAATGGATCGGTGGAATCGTTTCAAAGTTGTCACTATTTCGTGGACTTCGAAAAACTCAGAAGCATTTGGAAGGTCAACAATTTAAGAATTGTTTGTTTGGTTTCCCCCAAAATTTGTAATCGCGATTTTTGATCATTTTGACAAAGGGAGATAGTGACCGAGTAAATTTTTCCCCTAATTTTTTTTTTTTTTACGAGGGCTCGCAACAGCAGAGGTTATATCAACCCATGGGGTGCCGGTGTTTTTGAAAAAAATCCCATTTTATGTCGGGTTCGAATGTCGGCCGCTGGATTCGAACCCGGGACCTTTACCCTACGGTGATGAGCGCCGTGTCTACGCCTAAACCGTTGCGACAACCGACGCCGAAAATCTATGAACATTTTATTTGCAAAGGTTGTATCTGATCAACAATAACGACCAATTAAAATATTATTTGATGTTTATACTGTACAATGTCACTATTTTGTATAAATCTTCTTTTCCACCAAGTTTCATCCCTAAGTGAACATAGAAAACAAAACTTTTCTATACCACCATTTAAAGGTGTGTAAAAAAAATCTATGAACGTTTTATTTGAAAAGGTTGTATGTTATCAACAATAACGACCAATAAAAATATTATTTGATGTTTAGACTGTACAATGCCACTATGTTGTATAAATCTTCTTTTCCACCAAGTTTCGTCACTAAGTAAACATAGAAATTAAAATTTTCTATACCACCATTTATAGATCTGTAAAGGAAAAACTATGAACTTTTTATTTGAAAAGGTTGTAGCTCATCAACAATAACGACCAATTAAAATATTAATCGATTAGACTGTCTGTCCAATGCCACTATGTTGTATAAATCTTCTTTTCCACCCGAGTAAAGATCCAAATGTCTGGAAAATTTAAAATCCTCTCGTCCTAATGGATTAAAAAGAAAAGCGCACAGCTCGAGTCGATTTCGAAAGGGGTCTCTTACGTTATTGTTTACGAGATACGCCTTATCCAAGGGCGTTATTCATAGACAGTCGTTTCAAAAAGATAAGTTACAGACAGTTTGTTTTCCAAGGAGAAACTTGTGGTCGCCTTCCCGACGGAGCCGATCGATAAAAGCTCGACGGCTAGGCCTTTAGGAGCTCTTGGAGCCTTTCGGCTCAATCAGAAGATTTACCTTGAACCTCTGGCCCGCCCTCGGCCCTTATTTGTTACATCGATCCCAATATTTCTCATAGCCAGTCACACTTAAAGAGTCAAGAGTAAATGGACATTTCGTATTGTCTTTTATAAGAAGTAGGAGACTTCCAACAGCCATTTTTAACAGTCTCCTTGAAAATTCCGTACGCTTTCCAATATGTTAAAGTAATAGTTTAAAACAAATAGAAATACCATCGGTAAACCATTCTAATAATTATTATATCGATCGATTTTTGGTGTGTTTTTTTCACCTAGGATAAAAAAATAATAAGGGTTTCTAATTAAGTAGGCAAAAAAAGTTTTTTTTAAGAAAAAATATTTCGGATTCATTTTAAGCACCCTTTAAAGCCCTTAAATATGATTTTTTATAGTCTGCAAAAATATACATTTTTGAGCAGAACTGGAAGGCTTTTTTTTATCGTGTCCTTTGTTTCATTTAAAAATTCATTACCCCTCTGGATATTATCCACTTTTACATGATATTACAACTTGCTGCATATCTCCTCTTTGAACTTTTATCAACAATATTTGTTATGTATGCCATTAAAAGCGGTAAAAATAAAGGTAAAATTGACAAACACTCGTCAAACGTTTTAATTTATTTCACCGGTTTTAATGTATTTACGGAGGCCAGGTTTTTTTGCCATTATGTGTCATTTATTAGTTTCTAAAATACTGTAACGTTTTTTGTGGTTGGTTGAAATCCTAATAACCAATTACGACCGAAAGCTATAACCTGTTTTGTTTCTTTTTTTAAAAAATAGAAAGGCTGAAAATTTGAGGGAATGTTTTTTTCCTTTCCTCAAAAGTTTGTAAAAAGTTGTTTTAAGATTGTTTTTTAAAGTGCGAAACACCATTATCAACTTTTTTCTTGTTTTAAGAAATGTTAACTTTTTTCTACAACAAATCCCTTTGAACGTCGAATCGTTTAATCCCGGACCATCAATTTGGATTCAGGCAATATCGAGTAGGCCAAAAAAATTTGTTTTTAAGATATCAATTCGGATTAGTTGTTACATTTAGCTCTCCGACATACGATGTTTTATAGAAAAAAAATAGAATTTTTAGGCTGGATAATCCGGGGCATGGTTTTTCTCCAATGTCAAATGTTCCACATAAAAGTTCATAACTCTGCTGATTTCTTCTAATGTTCACAGTATTATAATCGTTGGAAACCTAGAAATTTGATAGGCCTAATACTAATTTATTTACGGAAAGGGAAAGTTATGTCATTATGTCTAATTGGAAAGAGAAGAAATTTCTGTAAGGTTGCAAATGGATCGGTGGAATCGTTCCAAAGTTGTCACTATTTTGTGGACTTCGAAAAACCACACCTTTTGAATTTTCCCTCCTTTTTGCCATTTTTCAAAAATGAATGAAAAATGAACGCTTGAAAAATGGCAAAAAGGAGCAAAAAGGAGGACAAATTCAAAAGGTGGGGTTGAGATGGGAAGTTAGTGTCCGAGTGGATCGAAGTCACGATAGCTCAAGTGGNTTAAACCTATTTCTGTCCTTTTTTTCTTCACGTGTTCTTTCAATCTCAGCTTGGCATCTAAGGTCATTCCCAGATATTTAGCTGTATTGCTGTATGGTATAGTAGTTCCATCGATTGTGAGCGACGGAACATGATCCACCTTTTTGTTTGTAAAGATTAGATGAACTGATTTATGTTGATTTAGCTTGATTTTCCATTTCTTTGCCCATTCGTTTATCTTATTACATGCATTTTGGAGGATTTTGGTTGAGTGGGTGATAGTCGGTCCTAGTGATATCACCGCTGTGTCATCTAAATAAATAAAAATATAAAAAAATAATAAAATAGAACCCTATTAACTACTCGTATTGGTATAGATTTGGCATTCTTTCATAAATTTTAACCGGAAATACATATATATACATCAAAACCAAAGTTTCTTGATACAAGCTCAAAGAAGACAAATTAACTTTTTTAACAGTCATATACATTGAATTTTTAATTGGAACACCGAACATTGCAGACACAAAAATGCTCCCCGCTAATCCAGCCCAAAATTTCGATTTTTTATTGATAGAACGATTCGTAATTAAAGGTTTTAAAGGGTTCTTAAAACGAATCCGAATTGTTTTTTATAGGACAGGTTGTCCAAAATGATTGGAAATTACCAAACTTCAGCTTTATCACCCCTCAGACTTAAAGGTGGAATCTCACAATCATATTTTTACCTTAAGTAGTACAGTATATATATTTTTTTAATTCTTCATCTGTTTTATGTATAAACTATTTATAGGAGTTTTCCTTTGTCAGCAACGTTTTATCCTTCATGAAAAATTTAAGGAATCTGGTTGAAAATGAAGAGATATCCAAAGAATTGGACTGAAGAGAAAGGTGTGTCAAACCTCAGAATCGAGATTGAACCAGTTCTATAACAAATAGAATATTAAGATCTTTGTGTATTTATTCAGACATCGTGAGATGCGGTCGGGTGTGATGTAGGTTTCAGAAAAACATTTTCTTCATCGTGCCAACGTTTCGACCTTTATTGAGATCATCTTCAGGGCCTGGGATTTACAAACAATGTTTACATTTAACAATTACATTTAGGATGTGAAAAAGTGAATCTATACAATACAAAATATATTTTATATTCAAACATATAAATTCACTTTTCCACATCCTAAATGTAAATTTTAAATGTAAACATTGTTTGTAAATCCCAGGCCCTGAAGATGATCTCAATAAAAGATCGAAACGTTGGCACGATAAAGAAAATGTTTTTCTGAAACCTACATCACACCCGACCGCATCTCACGATATCTGAATAACTATAGATTAACGGTAACTAATCTCTACACATCTTTGTGTATGTTTTATTTGGGGCATAGAAAAGACCTTTGATGATTATGATGAAAGGAAATTAGATTGTTTGTATTGTCCTAGAGTTCAAGTAGATTGTAGTAATTCAAGTCTGTAAGTCCAGATTGAATTATAGAAATGGTTTCGTCTGTAAGTTTATATATGTTATATAAAACAAAATATATAGGCAAAATGCTTTATTGTTAAGAGTCGATAGTAATACAAAATCTATATTTTCTGTAAATTTAGAAATTAAATGTCACTCGGGCACCAAAACCTGCATGTTTCATCGATCTCCTCTTTCGCTAGGCACTCCCCCGTGTCGGCTGTGTATAGATAGAGGCTCTCCGTCTCTAATTTTTTGGCCGGCATCGCCTCCAACTGACTCCCGCTGCAGGTCATCATGTCGACGCAGGTGGTCTTATCGAAGAGGGCGTAATCCACGTAGATACCCATTTCATTCCTGGAACGACAAAATTTATCTTTGTATTTGTTATAATTTTTCTTTTTCAAGTTTAACCGAGTAAATTTGAAACAAAGCCATTATTTCACGACGAGAAGCCAGCCTTTTTTAACCCGGGCTTCCTACGCGGGGCTAAACCTGTCAAAATGGTAATGCAGCCATTGAATATTTATAAGGAAGTAGTCCGATATCATTCTCACGAGCCATGACAAGCGCTTCCAACCTACCTCCATACGAAACCACTTAGGAAAGAATGCCATCACTTGGTCTGGAGGTAAATGTTATTACCCAAACCTGGTTTCGCACAGCTTCTTTTTTATCGCAAATTGGCCATATCATAATTTATCTGTTTCTAACCTGCCAAAAAAAGCAATCTACAGTATAAAATTTACATTCGAGAAAGATGATTCCATGATATCCTATCATAATTTCGTACACTTGGGTGACCCGTGAACGAGAGTTTGATCGAATGGGTTAAAAAAAGTAAGTTTTAAGTAATTTACATAATCTATTTAAAATAGAGTTTTCTTGTATTTGTTGTGCATATATTTCACAGTTATTATACATTATATATTAGTCGATTACATAAAACAAGATGGTAAGGATAAGATGGTAGTATGTAGAGTTAAGGTATATAATTAATTACAATTAATTAAGGTTTTTAGTTGAGATGAAAAAAAGTTAATGGCACGAGAGGGATTCGAACCCACGACCTTCGGCTAGATACGCCGCTGCTCTACCACCTGAGCTATCGTGACCTCGATCCGCTCGGACATCAACTCCCCACCTTGGTGTCACGGTCACGATAGCTCAGGTGGTAGAGCAGCGGCGTATCTAGCCGAAGGTCGTGGGTTCGAATCCCTCTCGTGCCATTAACTTTTTTTCATCTCAACTAAAAACCTTAATTAATTGTAATGACTCTATTTTAAATGGTCAAGCGGACCACGAAATTAGTGAATATATAATTAATATTATTTTTAAAAGCTTTTTACAGCATGGATGCTTATCCGTCTGCCGGAAGTTGGCTGTTCTTTTTCAGGCGAGTGAAAAATAAAAAATAAAATAAACTGTATAATAATGGTAATAATAGAAAACTATAAGTAACAACTAAATTATAAAAACTAGCTGATTTTAGATACAAGTTAAACCATTATGACTCGGTATTATAATCGTACCTATATTGCCAGACGTGCATATTGAGCTAGACCTTTCGACCTCTCCATATCCACGATATTTAACAGATCAAGCAGCTGAGACCTGGAAAGCGATTTATAGCCTAGATACAGGATACGGAGTTCAGACAGTATGGGACACTGGCCAACAAAATGAAAGATATCTTCCCTAACTCTTAGGTTACAGAGCGTGCACAAGAAATTTCCATCGTCTTCCATGGCACAGAATTGAGGAGCACTTGCTCGCATCTGAGTTTAAGAAGCGATCGAAGAGTCGGAAGTTTTATAGACCACTAGGTCATTTGAACATTTAGGTTATAGGTTTCCTTAGAGTGGTCTAGGGCCTTAAAGAGAAGATACCTGTTGGAGACCTGAGCCCGATGCTCACAACTCACACGATGTTGATCACGTAGTCTGCACAAAAGTTTCATGATATAATTGGGCCAACTCGAGAGTTTTCTAAACAAAAAGAAAAATCGCAGCCCTATTGAGAAGCTAAAGTATTCCATTGCCGATCCAAGAACCGTTAGATTTAATAACCTCGAGAGCAGTAATTTTGGAGATTCGGGCAACAGGGCCCTTAAGTACCCTTAAAACAAATGAAAAATGCATGGAAAGCGTAAAAAGGAAAATTTTATCCACTGCCGACTCCATATAAAGCATATAGTTTGGAGTAGAATTAGGCAGTGAGAAGATCTTCCTAATAAAAAAACGTTGCACTCTTTCTATCACTTCATAATCCTGGAACCCTCACACCTGGCCTGCATAATACAAAATAGAACGGCACACTGCATTAAATACCTTGTACTTAGATAAACCGGGATTAGATTATGGGCCAAAAAGTAACACCATGTTCTATTCAAAGCAACCTTCGCACTGAAGCTTTGGATTTTAGATGAGGGGTAAAAAGTTAGGACAACTCCAAGATATTTATATTGGTTAACCACATCTCACCCTGGAAAAACCTTGGCAGGCCTGCCTCCTCTTCTAAACACCATTATCTTTTATTTAGCCAGGTTGACAGTAAGATTCCATTGATCACAGTATGATTCCAGGAAACTAATATTTTTCTGCAACCCAGTAGTACTATCTGTTATCAAGACTACATCGTCAGCATACATTAAAATCTTAATAATTCACTAACACGGACTCCAAAATCCAAGCTAGACGGGAGATCATCCAAGAATAAGGAAAATAGTAAAGGGCTTAGGACACATCCTTGTCTCACACCATAAGATACCTCAAAAAATACGGAAATACCTCCTGACCCTCTGACCGCACTCTTAGTCTGTGAGAAAATTGCCTTCACGACCCTTATAAACTGACTAGATACTCCCAAATTACCGAGTTTCAGAAAGAGGGCTCTTCTATCAATCCAATCGAAAGCCGCCCTGAAATTGACAAAGAAACAGTAAAACTTCTTTAGTTTTGAAAATGACAAATTAACAAGATTATGAAGAATGAATAAATTGTCAGAAGTGGAGAAGCCCTTACGGAAGCCTACCTGAAATTCAGAGTTAAGGTATATAAAAACTTTCAAAAACGAAAACTGACGAGTTAGCCAAAAATATTTCTGAAAAACAATAATTATAATTCGTTTTAAATCTTTAAACCGTTTAAATACGAAATTTTACAGAAAAGAAAAAAATGAAAATATTTGAGTTAGATTAGCCACGTTTAATTTTTTTCTCCGGTTTCCGTGTTATCCACTTAAAATTCATAACACCTCTGCATTTTGCCCAAATCAATTTTATTAAACAGTTAAACATCAGGATTATTCTACATTCAGCTCATGTCAGAAACATTTAGTTATATGTCATAAATTAATTTATGAATGCCTAATTGAACCATAATCGAACCTTTAATAAATTTTCCATAGACAGAGAACTTAGATGTCTAAAATTTTATTTCCGGTTAAATTTTCCGTAATTATAGATTTCTCATAGCTTAAAAGCAATTGGAGTGTACTTTCCTGGATTGATGGAAACTCGTCTGATACACATAGCGAAAATAGGCGAACCGGAATATCGTTATTGATTGAAACTTCATCAAATTCTCAGTAGACATTAAAATCAAACGTCAACAATTTTATTGCCCGTTATTGTAGCCATCTCTTTGCTTAAAAACAAATGCAATGCATTTTTCCAAGAAAGAAAACCAATAGCGACACTGGGTGGAATATCGTTTAAAAAAGTAAAAGTTTAGACGTTTCATTTCAATGTCTATTGAAAATTTGATAATGTTTCGATCAATGTGCTATGAGTGTATCAGACGAGTTTCCTTCCATCCAGGAAATTACACTGCATTTGATTCAAGCAAAGAGACGTCTACAATAAAGACAAATTTAACCGGAAATGGAGTTTTTGCCCTTTGATTTTCCAGGCTATCGAGGAATTGACGATGGTTCGATCCCTAATAATATTCTGGTCCACCTGTTCTCTCTATATGTATCATATGAGTTGCTCTCAATCGAGGTAAATGCACTGTTTGTTCTTTAGCAAAGACATGTCTACACAAAAAATCAACCGGAAATGAAAGTTTTGCATTTGATTTTCCAGTCTAATTAGAATTTGATGTTTCGATCAACAATAATATTGACTGTGACAACTGTGACGAGTTTCCTCACATCCAGGTAAATAGATTGCATTTGTTTTTTTAGCAAAGTGATGTTTAAATTCAGGAAAGTTTAAGTAGAAGGAAAAGGTTTGATTTCAATTTCTTCTCTGAATCTGATGATGTTTCGATTAATAACAATATTCTGGTCCGTCTGTTCTGGCTACGTGTATCAAAGAGTTTTCTTCGTCCTGGAAAATGCACTACCGTTATTTTCAAGCAAAGAGATGCTTACAGTAACGTATAATTTAAACGTATGATTTCAATTTCTTTTGAAAATTCGCTGATGTTTCGATCAATAACAATATTGTTGTCCGCTTTTTCACCCTATGTGTATAAGACGTGTGTCCTTCCAACCGGGAAAATATTCATTTTAACATAATTGAAAATTCACTATTTTTCTGTTTTTAAGTTGAGATAAAAGTCACGAGATTACACGATATTTGAAAAATGGCAAAAAGGAGGGAAAATTCAAAAGGTGGGGTTGAGATGGGAAGTTAGTGCGAGGGGATCGAAGTCACGATAGCTCAAGTGGCAGAGTAGCGTATCAAGCCGAAGGTCGTGGGTTCGAATCCCGCTCGTGACACTGACTTTTTATCTCAACTTAAAAACCTTAAATAATTGAAAATTTTAATCAAAATAAAACTTGTGACGTACGGTTTATTATACTATTGGGAATTTGATTATTACTCAATCAGTAACGATATTCTGGACAGCTATTCCCGTTTTTTGGAGGTTTTTCCATTCCATCTATACTTTTAATAATCTCTGGTTATATTTCCAGATAGTGTAGTAAATTTTGAACAGACAATTAGACCAGACCTTCAGACATCCATGTGTATTCTATTAAATTTGTGAGGTGTTATTATGACGAAAACTGAGGAAAAAATGGTTTGATAGAAAATCTGTTAAGAATTTCAAATATTTAAGGTTTTTAGTTGAGATAAAAAAGTACGCCATTTCATTTGTCGCCGAGAATCAAATAGATTACACGACATTTGAAAAATGGCAAAAAGGAGGGAAAATTCAAAAGGTGAGGTTGAGATGGGAAGTTAGTGTCCTAGTGGATCGAGGTCACGATAGCTCAAGTGGTAGAGTAACGGAGTATCTAGCTGAAGGTCGAGGGTTCAAATCCCCCTTGTGACAATGACTTTTTTATCTCAACTAAAAACTTTATTTCAATCAGCTATTGCCCATAGTCATCACTAGGTGGCC